AATGTATGAAATACACACAAAAAAAATAAAATATTTTAATGCAATAATAAATAATTTTGGCCAGTTTAATACAATCCTCTCGTTTTAATTAAAAGGAAAAATAAACATAAAATTAAATTAGTTATTTCACTGTAAATGACAATGTGCAATCCCAGACAAGAGGTTTATAGAAACAAAGTACATGGTGTTACAGAAAAGACTACTATTATTTTAGCAAGTGATAGGTTGGATCACGACAAACAAAAAGATGCAAACTTACCGCCATCGTTCGATAGTAGTTGTTGTCCTCGTTATCCATTGCCGATTTAGTTAAAACAATAACTTAAAAAATAAAAAATAAGAAACGTCTTTAATAAACACTTAACGTGTATATAAACAGTAGAAGCGCAATCTTTTTGACACAACTTAGGGTACGAACATAGTGGGCGACGAGGCTTCAGTCTTCAGTGTCAGATAGAGTCTAGAGGCAAAACTTGTCGCTATGCGATTTAAATACATTGAATGGCAGTGGGCAGTCCATAGTGGCGCAACGAGTCACGCGTGTGTCGCGACGAGGCCTCGAGGAGACAAATCTGCCTTCCTATTATTTCACGTCTTCACGCGACTTTTAATAAATTTCATTGTATTGGTACAATTAATATCTCTTATTTAACGAAGAGATACCTACTACTTGGAACCAATGCCATCCTAATTGTAATGGGTGTATTCTAAATAAGTTATGAGATTATATAGGTAACTTTTGAATTTCGATGAATAGGTATAAAATTTGATTTGTATTTAAAAGAAATATTTACTCTTCGTACTTTTTTATTTGTGAGCGGATGTCAATATGTAGAGTTAAGTAAAATAGGGCGATGCAAGTTTTAAATGAACATACTTCGAGGAGTGAGTAGACATGTTTTTACAAAATAAAAGATAATTTGTTGCGTACGTAACTTGTGTGTAAAGAAATATCAATTTTATTCGTTCCAAACCGAGAAAGAAATCCAAATAAAATTTGATGTATTACAAATTTACTAACCAGTGGAGGAGAGACATGGGATATCGTCTACATAAAACGATAAAAAAAAATAATGCGACCTGCACAAAACTTAAATTGATCACACTTTTGCATGTAGCTTGTAATTTTCAAAAAATAAATTTTCTTAACATTTTCAATTTTGTGTCAAATGATTATTGTCTTACATTTATTTGTGATTTTGTAAGGAATCAAACAAAATGTTAATAAATAATCAGCATAATATACTTCCAAATCGAATCTGTTCATATATTTTATGTATACATTGCGTTCCAATTTGAAACTCGTATTTTAGACTACATTTACCAATTCAATTTTTTTTTAATATGTAGTACTTGAAGGGAATCTACCTTCACTGTGTTTGAAAAACTGTGAAAAATGACAAAATCGAAATTTTTTTGTAAGAAAACGTTTAATAGCTTAATCGATTTCTACCCATCCCAAATCTAAAATTAAGAAATATAAGAGCGTTTGTCACAATTTCTAATAAATTATAATTTTTTAATGCCCCCTATGCCTACATAATTATTACTACCTACTGCACCTTAAGCTATTTATTTTTATAATAAATTATCCCATGTTCGATGTGATTAAGGATAAATAAGGAATCAAAATTGCAAAACGGAAAGACGACGGCTTTTCTGCATTAACGATTGTTATTATTTTCATTCTTTCTGAAATAAAGAGCACATAATATCAGACGCTTTCCATTATGTAAAAACAAACACATTTCAACTAGGTTGCAATAAAGATGTATAGCTACCTATTATACAGGACATTAAAAAATTATAATTTCTTAGAAATGGTAATTTCCATAACAAACGATATTTTGCTATCAAAGCGATATTTTCTACTTGGTAGATGCATAGAAATCGATTGAGCAAATGTTTTCTTAAAAAAATGTCAAATAGTTCCTCGGGTTCAACGGGCATTTTATTAAAATTGGTCCAATTTTTGTTTAAATGAGCACTAATTTATATAATTATACGTCGTTAAGTCCATCCTCATATACTCAAAAAAGCGGTCTGGATATTTTTTTAATTCATCGAAAAGCCGATGGTATTCTCTCTTAATACGTTTCTTTTTTTAAGATCGTACACCCTACACCGTCTACTTAGTAATAATACTTTTGCCGCACAACTGTCCAAAATAATATCGTCCTCACTGTTCTGAATACATTTTTGTGAATATGGGTTATTTCCAAACGTAAACAATCTGATGCGTTGACCCCGAATTCCAGAAGTCGCCCCACGTGTTGACGGGCTACTATGGACCCCTTGTCGCGCGCGTTTTTTGCCTCGTAGTAAGACTCTATCTGACACTGAAGCCTCGTCGCGCCACTATGTTCGTACCCTTAACAGCAATTCACCCGCGTACTGACACTGACACAGGACACTGACTGACACTCCACCTCCACACTCCACAGGTGCCGTACGGAGTGCGGACTAGGTCAATGTTTTTTGCGCTATGTTAAATAGGACCGGCATTAACATTTTGTCACTTCTTGTAATTTTTTGGAAAATATTTTTGATACTCAAATCTCATAATCGCCTTATGGTAGCATATATTATTTTACTTCATTTATTGTCAAGAGTCTAGGTTTTTAATTTTCTGCATTAAAGACGCCACACCCTGTATATCCGACTCTTCAGGATACCCGTCACCCCCCCACCTTTCTTGAATGTCCGATTCTGTGAATCATCACGACAGGCGTGGCTAAAGCAAGATTAAGTACATTAAAACAAAAATATATAACTGATTTTTTTTAAATGAATTTACATATGTATGTATGTACATAGGTATAAACTTACATGCATACCTATATATATAGGCTGTTACAAATTCGCTTTTCACTACAGGAATCTCGGAAACGGTAAGAGCTACGAAGTAGCTTAAATGGGGGCAAAGTTGCGTAATCAGGGGGACCAACATTATGCCTCTAAAAAATCAAGGCTAACATGGTTAATTTTCGAAATATCGATTTTGTTTAATTTCAGCCTTGTTTGAAAGTGATACTGAAAAAAGAACACTTTCTCGTGGCCACTTTTTGCACTCTATTGAATGGCATAATCAATTTTTCTATGTAACGTTTCGTCTCTCCAGGACCATCATCAACTTCATTTTGTTAAATACTACCCTAGAATTTTATTACATTATTTGCAAGCCTTCATGACCCCCAATACTGTACTGCCTCAGCCCGAGCCAGATTCAGATGTTTTGTCGCAAAAAATTCATCTTCAGTGTATTCGTTCCAAATTTATCTAAATTTTTTATTTAGATTTCGTTGTTTATTGAATTATCATACACTGTAAGTGTCGTATTTAAACTAAACGTTACATATAAAAATTGATTATGCCGTTCGATAGAGTGTAAAAAGTGGCCATGAGAAAGTCTCCTTTTTTCAATATTACCTCAAACAAGGCTGAAATGAAACAAAAATGGAATTCTAAAATTTCGTTTTTTTTTCAAATATTTCGAAAACTAATCAGGTTAGCTTTGATTTTTTAGAGGCATGATGTCGGTCCCCTGATTACGCAACTTTGACCCCATTTAATCTAGTTTGTATCTCTTACCTGTAGTGAAAAGCGAATTTGTAACAGCCTGTACGTACAGTGTACAGGGTGATTCATTAACAATGGGAAAGTCGAAAGCTGAAGATACTACACGTGAAATGGTGACCATTGGCGCAAACATGCCTTATCCGAAAGTTAATAGTTTCGGAAATACAGGGTGTTGAAAGTTAAAATTTTAAATCGTTTTTTTGCGATTATTCTGTATATATGTACCATAGTATGTCTTGTTTACCCATCCATTTTTTCAATAAACAAATACATTTACATAATACGTATGTACATAAATGCTCGTTTATGTGCGTTTTTATTCATTTTTTTTTTTCATATTGCCCCAGGGACAATATTATCAATTTTTTGTGTACTGACCACGCTCCGGTCTCATAGATGGCGAATATTAGGTGTTCTACTGTAATTAGAAAACAGATATCAATTAATAGTTTAGTTAGTTTGATGGATATATTAAACAAATAGTTTTACAAGATTTCAAATCATTTTGATCCTATTGACAAAAATTTAATAGTTTGACATGGACTGGATAAAAAGTGTGTATCGATATCGAATAAATCGTTTGAACGTTTCTTATATTTTTGTAGTCGATATACACGACACTTTTTAGATAAGTAGATAGGTAAGTTTGCAGACAATAAATTAATATTTTCAAATACTAAATAAATAGAATAAGTACTAGTCTCTAGATTGACCAAGTGTTGCTCCAAATTATCATTTGGGCAATTTGATCCGTTATATTATTTATTTAAAAAAAAAAACTAACAAAATTTCATTGTATTTTAGATTAAAGTATTGGATTATTACAAAATAAACTCTGTAACCGTTTAATAAGTACATGTCTTAAATTTGGGAATGTGGGGTGGCAATGGAAATAGTTTATAAATCTACTTTAAAACTTATCTGTGCTTATAAGTAGAATAACTGATAAAATCCGAAACAAAAAAGTCTTCATATTCTTATTTCACTAATATTAATAATTACAATTACGTTAATGACACTTTTATAAAAAAATTATAACGTATACCACGATTGTCCTAAAAATGGAAAATATTCCGTTAGATTTGCTGCTTGCTCATAAAAATATTTTCTTGAATTTATTTATTTAAATGTTTGGTATTGTTTGCATATGTTTACTTTCTCAATATGATTAGATAAAGAAAAAAATTATTTTTTTTTAATATTTATTCACAACTAAATTGTTATAAAAAAAATAAGTTCAAATCATCACTGACTACCCTAAAAGTAGTAAAAAATTTTTCAACTCAACAAATATTAAACCTCAGTCTTATTACATTAAAATAACTTAAATTTTATGTAAAGAATGCTAACTTAAATATTACAACTACATTACTAAATATTAATCATTCGTGTTAGTAAATTAATATTTATATTGCATTAAAAAGGAGAAAAATATTTTAACTAGTTTATTAAATATATAATTTAATATATACTTTTTAACTTTTTAGAGGGAAGTTGCAGATAGTTATGCAAATAATGAAGGTAATAGAGAAACAATTACAAAGGAAGTTGTCAACAAAAGAAAACAAGAACAGAGTAAACCACAAGATATGAAAAAAGTGCGAGTATTGATAAATAAAAGCAAAATGTTTTTTCTGTATTTAATTTAAAAATATATTGTTTTATTATACAAATGTCACTTATTCTTTATTTGTTTTTATTACTATTATGTATAATATTGACTAGAAAGATTTTCCTGGTAACAACGGAGTAGTTTCTTCTAGAGACCGTGCAGCCCTTTCAGTCTGTCTGAAATTTCTATCGTGCAATGCAATACAGCTTTGTCTCATAGCTAATGGTCCAAACATGTTTGGCCCTTCTGCCTTCCAAACCGAGTTTCTAGGAAATGAAGAGGCCGCAAAACTCTGTAAAGTGGCCCTCGTTTCTCTCAAATTTGGAAATGAGTGGGGCATGCCTTCAAATTCTGTTACCGAAGCTTGTCCAACTAGGTTTTGAACACTGCCATAGAAAATATCACTGTCACTATAATCTTGCATATCATCCAAAATATTGTCCACAAACATTTGAGCTTCGGGAGGAGGCACCCAATTAGGATTTGTAGTTGTAAAATGAACTAACGATAACTCCACTTTTCCATCTTCGGCTTGCGAATAATGATCAGGTGTTACCGCATCCATAGACTCTAAAGAAGCCTTTTGCCAATTTGGATTTCCATGTTTTTTAACATCCATTTGAGCAAAGCTGCAAACATCTCCAACCCCAACCACCGATACAGTGAAATGTCGAAAAAAGTCCACGATTTCTAAAGACCTTGGATAGATCCACCAAATTAGAAGGAACGGTGTCATTATTGGTGACACCAATTGTTCAAATAAAGCTACAAAACGATATTGGAAGAGTTGTTGGAAGCCCTCTCTTACTCTTGAAGTATGCGCATGACTTTTCCAATCAGATACCATATAATGTGTATGCACAACAACAGCCTGCAAAAGTGACTCTGGACACCAGACCATTGACTCTTCTGGGACAACACCCCTACAAATTGCAATTGTTCCTCCTAAAACTGTCATTAAAGTTATAAAATGTTCTACTACTATGACATCTCCATCATACACAGTAAATAATAGTAATATAGCAAGAAGTGATCCACAAATAAATCCGATATGTTGGGCTATTATAGTTACGAGAGGACTACTAAAAGCTGATAAATATTTTGTCGATGGTCGATAAGCTCTAGTAAGTCTCGCTTGTAATTCATGGTCCAACTCATTAAAATGTCTAAAATACAATTTTCCATATAAAGACCAATTTCTTATTCCAATTCTTCCAGGTTCTCTCCTAATAGACTCCGTATAATAAAAAAAAGTATAAAGAACTTCCCACACTAGAATAGCTGGTGCCAAAATGAAATTTGTAAATGCCAACCATAAAATTTGTTTGCCAAGTCGACTTGCTAATTCATGTCGCAAATTATGTCTTTTGTACTCTTCTCGCAGATGCCAGGGATTTTCAAAGGGTGACCATGGAGACCAAAATAATAATATCTGAAGATTTAATTTTAAAGCTTTTGTCCAATACACACATTCTCCTATAAATGGTACATTTATTCGTGGAGGCAATAATCGTTTATTTACTAGAGCTACCATATAGTTTTCTTGTCGTAAGATACGATGATAGATATCTAGTTCCGTTAACTCTCTCTTATGTATACACATCTGTTGCTCCAGTTGTACAGCTCTAACTTTAATTTGGATTTCGTGCCAATTTAAATTGTCTAATTCGTTATCTTGAATTCCAAGGGCAGTGTTGTAAAATTGTTTGATATCCCAAAATTGAAGAAGCTGATAAAATCTATTTAATATTTTTAATATAAGAAATAAGGACGCTATTATGACACAAAACCAAGTTAAGGGCTTAAATTTTCTAAAAGTTTCATCAAAACCACGAATAATTTCATGTAATGTGGGCTTATGATCTGCGGTTGGATTAAACATGATTTCATAGTTAATTCCATGGACCAACCATACTGTCAAAAAAACCACAAAAACAAACTGGTTTACATCAAATATATCTCGAAGCAGCATACATCGAAATCCATGGTTTTGATGATATTTGTATATTCTTGAAAAGAATGAATCCAAATCTTCCACATGGTTCCATCTTGATCTAGTAGGTTCTGCTTGATGGAACAATATGCCATGATCATCTGGAGTGTCATGAGTTTCTTGCAATGAAGCGTAATTTTGCATAATGAATTTGATTTAACCTAAAAATAACGAAAATAATTACAAATTTAATAAAACATTATCTTCAAACACATATTGTGTAATACTCCTACCAGATGAATAAGATTATTTAATTTCATATTGTGAGCAAATGTATTGGGATGAGAAAAAAAATATCAGATTCCAAAAAGACAGATTCTCAATAATTTCAATATATAGGCAGCGGCATAGGCCTGGTTATCATTTAGATAGCATTCCATGAAAATATTAAATATTGGACTGTAGTTGCTGTTTGCCAAGTTTTCAGTTTAGGCGTTTTGACATTTCGAAAGAACTTGCAACTTCAGGAAAAACCCAGTTTCAGAGTTTCCTCTGAAGAGATAGATGTCTTTCTAAATGTCTAAATTGGCAAAGTGGCAACAATCTTGCACAAGTCTTAAATACTAAAATATAGTCAGATTTTATTTTTCTTTGCTGGTGCTGCCACACGCCGCATTATCGGAAACTTAAAAATCCTGTCTTAAACTATACTTACCAAGGAACCAATAATAAAAATTAATAATGAAAATAAAACAATACAGAACAAATTTTTTGTCATACTATTTCAATTTCTGTTAATATCTGAAAAGGTGGCAAACATCCCATATTGAAAATATAAGGTTCTGTCTAGTCTTATGAAAACAATTTATTTGCAATTAACAGAGCTTGACCAAAATACTTTCAAAATGTATTTACAATACAAATTACAAAATACTAGTAAGACAGTATTTTAAAATACTTTAAAACTAAATACTTCTTTGGCAAAGTATTTTAAATATAAATTATTTAGTATTTAAAATAGTATTTTAAGTATGTTGAATATTAAATATATTGAAAATATTCATTAACAGTATTTAAAATATTCTTGTGAAATATTAAATCTGAAACTCTTAGGCCTATCGCAAACACAGCCACTTGTGGTCGCCACTAGTGGCCGTTAGACCGATCGCAAACACAGCCACAAGTGGCCACCACAAGTAGCTAGAAGTAACTACTAGTATTTGCTACAGATAGCCGCCACGTGCGGTTAATTTTTTAATTAGTGGCCGACACTTTTCGTAATTTTTTTTCAATTTTGGATATAAATACATCTTCGACTATATTGTCCACCATTTCTGTGCTCATAATTTCAGAAAATGTACCAGTTAAACGCTGTGGACTGTGTTTGCGCCGAAAGAAGAGTGGCTGTCGTCGGCTACAAGCAGCAAGGTACGACTTCTGCCACAGTGTGTGGCTGGGTCGAGCCACTGCCAACGCTGTGTTTGCGCTGAACCTATTTAAACTACATACAAAATACAGTCCGCAGCGTATAGCAGCCACCAGTGGCGATCACGCGTGGCTGTGTTTGCGATCGGCCTTAAGGAGGTTCATCAGGCATGTCTAAAAATGAATTTCAGCAGATTCGCTAGTGACTAAAGTAGTAGAGGTGTTTTAAAATCTTATGAGCTTTGACCTTCATGCGCAGAAACATAATTCCGACCGTTGCCTAAATTATTCTAAGTCCTAAAAACATTACACCTATTATGCACAGTCTCTCTCGAGCTCTCGTAGCGTAAACAAGCCTTTGATCCGATTACAAATATCATAATAAAATGCCCTATTCTTTGTTATTTTAATTTAAGCAATAAAAATATATATAACGAACATTCGCCAGTTGACTTTATTGATGCCCGAGCGCCTTAGTTTATTTCTACTTGTAATGATGCACATGGTCTAGTTCTGAGTCAATGTTTTCACAACGTGCTTATTAGAAGAATTATGCGGATACGCCACGCCTTTCGCGCATTTCGCGGCTCATGAGATATTGAAACACCTCTAAGCCTTTAGATATTACTTGGCTGGCGCGCTCGGCTCGGCGTTCGCTCGCTTGCATTCGATCATTCTATTTGTTTGGATGCCTAAGTTTAAAATATACATCATACGTCACACCTGTGAATTTCAAATAATACCCTACGTCGAGAACCGCGGCGTTGCCGCTATCACGCATATGGAGGTTAAGTTAGTCAACGACAGCAATTTGAAGAATTATTATAAATTATGTATCTAATCGATTTCTACAAGCTGTCATATGGTTCCTTAAATATCCGTTTCCTATTTATACAAGTTGCTGTGGAAACTGTTCGTCAATTGTTGCGCATTCTAAGTGGAAAGACCAAAAATATCTGCATACTCATAAGACTTCATACTAAATCGTGAAAAATTATTTTATTAATATCTCGTCTCTTAGGTATCCAAACTAGTCATACATTTTTTTGAGGATTTTCTTCATATTAATAAGCTTATATTATTTTTTTTATGAATATTTGTTCGTTAATTTCATATCAGATAAACCTCCTTAAGATGTGGTTTAAAAAAATATAGGTATTGTATGTGCAAGGCAAGCCCGATTTCAAGATCAAAAAATTAAAAAAAAATTAAACACGAATCTGGAAACAATCATTTTCATTTGAATTACCGAGATACAGAATATTTAATTTACTCATAATTTTTTATTAGTTTTTCTTAGAACAGCCCACTAATAATAAAAATTAATTTTAAATTTTTTATCATTAACTACTGACTCAACTAGTGATGATTGTGACACAAAAGGTAGTATACAACAGAATAGCAATAACACAAGGCACATTGCAGAATGCAGAGTAGAATATGCTCAATACAGGCGTGTGGATGCGTAATTCTTTTCAACACGTACCAATCGCCAGTCGTAACAGGCAAAAAGTATTTGTTTTTGGTATGTATTTTGGGTATTTTAAATACTTCCAGTAATTTAAATACTCCCGAAGTATTTGAAATACAAAATATTTTTGGGGTTATAAGAAAAGTATTTTAATTACAAAATACAAAATACTATTTTATATTTAAAATACTATGATATTTTTTTTGTCAAACTACTACCAGCTCTGGCAATTAACAATAATTATAATCAGCAAGGCTAGCAATTAGCACATTCATTTTCAGGTAATTTCAAAGCCTCCCGATATAAAACTTTAAGCCCGTATAAAAAATAATCTGCATTATAAATTAAGAAATATAAAGTGATGCTGATTAATGTTATACGGCCAAATTTTTAATAAAACAATCATCTCTAAAATGGTTTTCCCAAATATCCCTTCTAAAAAAATTGCAGCATCCCATGAACCACCATCTGGATTACAGTAATTCATTCAGTAAATATATCTGGAATTCCACGAAATCTAAAAAAACAATCATTAAAATTGTGACTAGTCAAAAAAAAAATTGGGAACCACAATTTTTAATGCGCTACAAAAATATATATAAGGTGTCCCATTTAAAAAAGATGAAAGTGGATTTGTTTCTACACTTTTTGACATCCTTTTTTTTAAATTCTTATAATAAACGTTCTATTTGAACGTCAAAATATAAATGAAAACTATGAATATGAATAATTTATTTTTATCACATAAGTCAGTTCTTGTCAAAAAAAAATTATCTGATAATAAAATTTTTACTTACTTTTTTGCATCACAATTTATGTTTCAATAAATATATAAAAAAATATGGGAAAATTCAACACTGTTTATCAAGTACAGTATCATGAGAATCAATAATAATTAAATTCACTATCTGTTTATATAATAATCTGAGAATGAAACCACAGGAGTAATTTGGTGTATAAACTGAGTAGAGTGAGTGAGAAAAGTGAGTAATATATGATATAACGAAATATAGTTATACCATGAGCAATATGTATTAAAACGGTTATTTATGCCATACGTGTAATGCAGTTATCTATTATTTCTAAGTAATATGTATTTGAGTAATTAATTATGAAAATGGGTATATTTTAGCATATAAATTTTGTCCAGCAGTTTACCCTCCATAATAACCACAATATTTCACAAAATTAACAAATAAAAAAAATATAAAATGAAAGGAAATATAATATTAACTGTTTATCACCATGAGTTTCAACAATTATCAAACTTATCAATGTTTTGAAATAATTTTCTATTTTATCCATGATGAAATGAAAACAAAAAGTGCAAAATTATTATTGTTTATTAATCTTACACTTCTGCTCATTATATGTCAATGTTACAATGAATATTATTATTTATGGTTATAGTTATGGTGCATTAACCACAAATAAATATCAGACATCGGATAAATATGAATTGAACACAATAAAAATATTTCCTTGTCTTCTTTTTTCTTTAGTGACACCAATGAAACACAAATTCTAAAAAAAAACTTTCATTTGAAAGGTTAATATGCATGTTATGACTTTTACCCTGCACAGTTGTTTTAAAAAACATGCACTATCAATTTTTTAAAACAGGCACAGGAGGCTAAAGGCCGCATTTCACTGAGGCTGGTCCAGCCATGTTTGAAACATAGTTCCCTCGTGGGTCGGGCGGACATTTTAAAGAGGGTCCAGCCGTGCGGGTACTTACGTACATCAATAGATTTTTGTCTATTAGTATCATGTGCCTGCCCACGTGACTGTGCAGTCTTAGATACCAGTCAATAGTCGTGATATTATTTTGTCCAGTTATTTTTTATGTTTTCTTTTTGTTTTTAAAATAATGTAAGCAGTGAGTGTTTCGTCGTCGTCACTGCTACTCTGCATGATTGTATACCGAACATCTTCAGAAGAAAAATTGTTTTAAGGAGTGTAGATACCTACAATCGTGCTTGAAAAGAACAGCCAAGAATAAATGCAATTGTTCCTGCCACTATCCTGTATCGGACATGCCTGGCTGCACCAGCATCAGTGAAATGCGACCTTAAGCCTCTTCAAATCATTTAAGCAAAATTTTATTTTTTTGTTAACTACTGATACATAATCAACAATTATTTATATTTATCGAGAAAAACTTACTTTTTAATTACATATTTATATCAAATTCTATTTATAATTCATTATTTAATTTATATTATATTCTTTTTTTTTCATTTTATTTATGCACGATTGCAGATTTGTGAATATCGGTTAGTAATAAAGAAAATTTGTTTTTGTTTTTTTTATCCATTCAATTTCTACTTGAGTTATACTTGTATTCTAATTTTCGTAAAAAAATAATTTATTAACTGTAAACAGTTGCTATCACAAAACGTGAAATGAAAAAACAATAAGTCATATTTCATTAACACAAATTTATCGTTAAGCTTTTTCATTGACTTTACTTGACCTAAGTATATGACACTTACAAAAATAGCTGGACAAATAGCTATAGTAATACCACAAATTAAAATATTGTGGTAGTACTAACTTTAGTTATTCTATAAGCTAAGCTATATTACATAATTACTTTACAAAAATAAAATCTAACGATTAACGAAATTAAATGTCTCACTTCTTTGAATTTGAACAATCTAGTATATCAATATTTAGCTAGTGGTCATTTAGACTATGGTGACAAATTTAAGTAAGTCACAGAAAAAAGAAAATGTATTTTTGCACCTATTTCGTGGAAAACTTTTTATGAAAATTACATTTTTTATTCGTCTTTAAGTTTGGCACCATAACTATTGAAAGAAATATATAAGGTTGGCATCAATCGGACCTCGTTTTTGATAAAGCCATCCAGTGTTGAAGTCGGCAAAGAATTACATCCAGACTCAAGGTTGCGGAAGTCGGTAAAGAATCACATCCAACCTCAAGGTTGCGGAGTGGACGGATTTAATGCTGGAAACGATGTCCAGTGCGAATACGGGGCATTTGAAATAATCTCCACATATATTTAACATTGAAATGGTCGATTAAATTAATTGTAATAAAATTTGTTTTATTTTAGTCCATTTGTTTATTTTGTTAACATCAGAAGTGGGATAGTAATTTTGGTGTAATTAAGTGAAAAATTTAATATGCCAAAAGAAATTCGTCGTCCAATTAACAAGAGAACAAGACATTCTTCTTCGAGATTTCGACACAGAAGAAGTTCTGACAGCAGTGAAAGACGAAGGGAGTGCTCGTTGATCAGTTATACACCACAGACAGTGGTAGTAATGTCCAACAGAGAGCAGGATGATAGTGAGATAATTTCAGATAAATAGTACCAAAAATAATCCAAACTCATTGAGCTTAACACAGTAACAATATAATTGGAGAATTCAATCTCTTAGAATGTGATTTAAATGATTGGTTGCAATCTATTGATGAGTAAGTACTCTCAAATACATGATTGGCCAGATACCACTTAGCTTTAAGTACATTACATGAGCCAAAAAGGAAGGATTTACTTTTAAAACATTTTGAACCAAAAAGAAATTTGCACCAATCAATAACAAAAATGTTTACTTTTGTTGGCAAACCTTAGCAAAGTCTTTATTCGTATGCCTTTGAGAAATTAGCCTTAATTAAAAAATGAAGAATTTAGTGTTGTGGGGTGCTTACAGGTAGAAAATAACAAGGAACATGGTGTTGCCTATTATAGTAAACAAACTTTTCTGGAAAAGCAGAAGAATCATTGATTTCTATTAAAAGCAATGGCTATAATAAAATTCATAAAAAATTGCGACAGTAATTACTTGGGAGGCATTTTACAATAATTACAGATTGCAATGCCACTTTCAACAAATCAGAATTGAAATCAAAAATAGGGCATTGGTTATTGCAATTAAGTGAATATTAATTTGAGATTATTACAATAACAGGGTGACTGGTTATTGGTTGCTTAGGGCTATGATAAAGAAATAAAGAAAATTAAGAAAATATTAGAATCCGGGGATTGTTTTGAGCAAAAACGTATTTTTGATCAATATGAACTCAAGGGTGGTAGAGTTTATAAAATTACACCCTATGGTTCCCGTTGGGTAGTGCCAAAGATGGCTAGGATCTACATTGTGTGATTAAATCATGACGACAGGGCATTTTGCAACAGATAAAACATTAGAGTTAGTTGCAAACAAATACTGGTTTCCGCATACAGGTATGCGTCAATTTATAGCGAAATATGTATGTGTTTAAATTGTTTATATTTTAAAAGCACAGGTAGCAAAAAAACAGGGTTAATCCAATAAAAAATAGCATGTTCTTTTCATATTATACATGTAGACCATTTAGGCCCTTTTATAAAAAGTAAAAATGGGAATACTCAAATAATTATTATAGATGTGTTTACAAAAACGTGAAAATGGTCAAGTCGAGCGTTATCATAGAACAATTATTGACTCCTTATTAACAATGGGAGCAAATGAACATTGCTGGGACAAAAATTTAATTAATATACTCTTAGGTTTAAACGGAACCTTCAAGTGGGCTTTAACCGGATCTCTCAGGGAAGTTTTAATGGGGTTTTGAGTCACAGGACAGGTCATGTAGTGTACCTATAATATTCCTCAATGTGACGAAAATGTTGACGTGACGGTTCTTCGACCACAAGTTGTTGAAAATAGCAAATATTATCAAACACAACATAAAAAGTATTTTGATGCAAAGAGATGTACCTACACCCTACATTTATCACTAAGGTGATTTAATTTTACTCAAAATATCTTTCGTCCCCTGCTAGAGGACATAGGCAAAAATTACTACCAAGGAAATGTCCTTTAGGGTATCCAAGGTATCGCAGAACGATTGATATGAAGTGCTGGTGCTGGAGATACCAGGTATGACTCGGTTACAGATTGCCTATGTAGGAGTGGCACGAGTTGAAAATATGAAACCTTGGATTCGATTTTAGATAGTGAGGGAAGGCTACGGACATTGTTGCGTAAAGTAGGGTGGCTTGTTCTCAGGAGTAGGGTGAAAACCCAGTGCACTCTGACGAGGCAAGTGGACATCCAGTGCACTCAGATTTACCCAAGAGTGTGGAGAAAAAGCTTGTGGTGAAATTTATACCGGGTTCAGCATGTTCTTTCAGGCGGGAATATTCCATATTATTAAGTTAACTGGCCAAAAAATAGTCTAGACACTAACTAAATAAATACATCAATCAACAAATAAAATACATTAATAAATAAATAAAATAAATGAATAAATAAATAAATGAATAAATGAAATAAACAATTGACTAACTAAAATAATCTGCTGAGTTAAAAGTTTCTAATTCTCTGTCGTTTCCTATGTAGGATTATTGTATTGGGTGGTCAATCAATAGAGTAAGGACACTCTAGATGTCACGAAGGGGCGAATGTTAGCAGATCAGACTCAAGGTTGCCGAGTCGGCGGATTCAATGCTGGAAATGACGTCCAGCGCTAATATGGAGTATTCACTATAATCTCCACACATATTTAACATAAATTAATTATTGTAATAAAATATTTCAAGTCCAATTGTTTATTTGGTTAACAATAATTTTAATAAATATTCAGCATAAACAAAACTTCTTTATAAAAAATGTCTTCAATTTCTAAAAATTTGTTATTTTTACACAAACAAATCCTTAAAACAATTTTATTACTTGATTGTAGATAATTATAATAAAACATAACTCTCGAGAATCGTAAAGTTTTGCCTAATTCATTGAAAAAATTAAGATTCAGAATTTGAAAGGAAACTGAAAACTAATCAACGACAAAGGAAAACTGGATTAGGAAAATCACAATGTTATAGATTTAATATTTTATCAGTTAATCAACATTATTACAAAAATTATATGAAACAGTAACTGCCAATCTAAATTTCAAAATACATACTATTATGTAACCAGTTATTTTTAAAAATGGGTTTTTAAGCTTGGAAAAGTCAGAATGACATTGAAGTCCAACATAACAAAAAACAGCTGATATAGCTTAAACTTGATATCCTTACCTTTATTCAGGGATATATAAATCATGCTGCCCAGTTCAGTAATACATATCGTAAATTTCCCATATGCAGGAAATTGTAAAATATTTTGAGTTCTGATTATGGTTAAATATAACAAAGAAAATGTCACTGCTGGTAATTTTATGTTAAATCATATCGTAGCGTATCTTCTTTTCTGTTCTTAGTAGTTCTAACACTTTTCACATTATTTTTTTGTACGAGAAGTAGTTTTTTCACCATAAATTTAAACAACACTACATTTGCTAAAATCCACAAAAAAGCAATTACTGCTGTATATTCTTTAGTTTGCTAATCATGGATTGTGACAGTTGTTTAACGCGCACTTCGCTTTATGCAAACCATGTTTATTCCAAATTACAAAATGTTTGTACAACTATACATCCAAACAGTAGATATAAGCTGTTTTCCATTTGTCTTGTTTATACTCCTGCATAGATAAGAACAAGTAAGTTCCTGAAGTAACAAGGATTTCGCAATGTTGCCAATATAAATCGAACTAAAATTTAGTTGTTTACCAAATTTTATTGTTTAAATTTAGTTGGTATCAATTGAGTTTCAAGAGTTTCTGGTGGAGGTAAAATAACCTCACTTTAAATAAGGTTCGGTTGTTTATTTTTTAATAGTTTATGGATTATAGAAAACTTAAGGAAAGTGCCATTCGTTCACATTTTTATTTCTTTTGTTTTTTTTTATAGATACATTGATTATAATGAAAGCGTCTCCGNTGGTGGAGGTAAAATAACCTCACTTTAAATAAGGTTCGGTTGTTTATTTTTTAATAGTTTATGGATTATAGAAAACTTAAGGAAAGTGCCATTCGTTCACATTTTTATTTCTTTTGTTTTTTTTTATAGCTACATTAATTATAATGAAAGCGTCTCCGACTTACATATCATTATTTTTTATCATTATTTTGTTTCCACATTTTACTATGTATTTAGAATGTAAGACAAACATAAATATTGTTTATATATTTTTTTAATTTCTGCATCTACACTACGTCTTGAGTATATTGATTTATATTTTGTATAATTTTTAAGACAACACTAATTGTAACAAGACTTCGCAGCGTTGCCAACTTAACATATCTAGTTACTTACCAAAGTCAGTTTAATATCAAAGTGGTGTCGCGGGAAAATTTAAAATACTTTGTAGGTAGTTTTCATTAAATAAAATAATACTAAAATAATAAAATGAATGCATAACGACACCCAATAATAATAAATTAAGCACAAAAATTTGTGATACTTTTTCTTGTTTTTTTATGTAAATGTAACGTAAAATTATTTGTATATCACGATCTTATATTTTCCACAAATACTAATTTTAAAATCACAAAAAGTCATCTGCTAAACTACTAACTTACCAAGTTATAATAGTATTATATTGTTTCGTTGTTTAGTTTATTTTGCTAAATAAATTTATTAAAGGTAAGTGAATTGGTGCAATAAGTATTAATGGCCACGTTCAGCCAGACGCAGCGCTATGCTAGCATAGCGCATAGCTTTGTGTTCGCAATTTTCTGCTAACAGGTTGCGCTATACCTAGCGGTCGCCATGTTTTGTAGTTTAATTAATTTTCGCTATTTTGAGAGGAAAGAGCGCTAGGTGTCAAATTTAAGCAGTTTTTATAGTGTTTAAGTAAGAAAGTTAGGTTAGAAATACAGATGATTTAAAAGATTTTAAAATTTAAAACGATGTAGCATATATAGCTAACAAATTTTGTTTTTTATGATCATGGGACAATAGCTAGTCACCGATAACCATACTGTGAGTTATGTTCTATGAGATTGTGGTCGATGGTTGTCCGCGCCAGATAGAGCGCTACATGCTACTTCTTAGCAGATACTGCTATTGCGCTATGTTCGACTGAACGCGGCCAATGACTAAAAAAGTTGACTCCGCCGCCATTATTCCATGGCTAGAAATTGGCCTCAATGATTTGGGATCGAGGGGGATTATCCCTCTTTATCCTGCCTCATCTCGTGTTGGCCTGGACTGCCTTCGTAGGTGGGCCCCATCCGTCGTCTACCCCGACCGCAAATGCGGCCGGTGTAGGCGCTTTGTGGGACCTCCTTTTGTCCTGGCTGGGCCCCGCCGGCTAGGGCCCTTTCTTCTGGCGCTCTTCTTGCTTCGCCGGCTCGTCTGTGTAAACCCCGGGGGTAGTGTCATGTTTATGTGTGGTATGGTTGGGTAGGGTAGTGCGGCTATGCAGCCTGGGATGCGCTTTGCTAAGGTGGCCCTTAGGCTAGCGCGGGAGGGGAGGGTTAAGGAGGGTATGGGGGGTGTGTGTGTGTGTGTGTGTGTGTGTCGTTGTCTTCGTTTCTTGATCCTGGCTGTCTCTGAAACAGAAAAGGTTAGCGGGCAGGGGGGGGGTCATTGGGGTGGTCACCCAGGGTCAAAAAGTTGGTGTCTAGGTCTTTTGTGTTTGTCGGTCACGTCGGGTACGTAGTCAACGGCTTGCCTGAGGAGGGGATTGTCATGTCTAGCGGCTACGTCAAATCGTTTCTCCGCGTTTTGTCTTATTGTCTGTGTAGCGTTTGTGTATTGTAAGTCTCGTAATATGTCAGTGTTTCTTACGTACCAGGGCGCGTCGGTGGCCGTGCGGAGGGCTATGTTTTCCACAGCCTGTAATGACTTTAAGTGGCTTTTTGCCGCGTGACCCCACGCCGTGGAGGCGTAGGTTAGCTGCGGTTGAAGTACCACCTTGATAAGCGTTCGCTTATTCCTTAAACTGAGGGTGTTTCCACCTTTGAGTAAGGGATAGAGCCTAGCCCTGGTGGTCTTCGCTCGCGCCACCGTCTCCACGATGTGCGGTTTCCACGTGAGACGCTGGTCCATCGTCACGCCCAGGTATCGTGTTTGTCGATTCCAGGAGATGGGTTCCTGGGATAGTGTCAGTCTGTCAAGGTTTTGTGGGATTTTTCGTTTGGTAAAAAGGATAGCCGAACTTTTGTTGGGATTAATTTTGACTTTCCACCTGTTGCACCAGGTTTCAAGTTGGTCTAAGGAGCTTTGGAGGAGGTAGACGGAATATCTAGGATCTACGGATTGGGATGTGATTGTCAGGTCGTCGGCGTATAAGTATATGTTGGTGTTGGGGGGATGTGGGATGTCGGAGTTGTAAATGGTGTATAGGTGTGGGGACAGGACGGTGCCCTGGGGGACACCGGCCTCCATGGGACGGGTGGTGGAAAGGGAATCTTGGATTTGGATGCGGAATTTTCGGTGGTGTAGGTAGGATTTTATGAGTTTGGTAAAGGATATGGGATATTGGTTGGTGAGCATTTTCATCAGTAGGCCTTCATGCCAAACCGTATCGAAGGCCTTTGCGACGTCCAGGAAGACAGCACCAGTGTACTGTCCCCTGTTGAAGGCCGCCGTGATGTGCTCGGTAAGGCGAAGGATTTGGAGTTCAGTGGAGTGATTGGGTCGGAAGGCGAACTGGTTGTCTGGAATGACTCGCAGTTCTTGGAAGTGGGTTCTTAGACGAGTTAGGATGATTTTTTCAACCACTTTGCTCATAGCCGGGAGCAGGCTAATGGGCCGGTAGTTGGATGGGAAGGTGTGATCTTTGTTGGATTTTGGGATAAGGACTATGTTTACTGTTTTCCAGCGGGTAGGGAAGTGTCTTAGTCTGAGTGTCGCGTTTGTTATGTTTTATAGGGCCATGAGGCCCTTGTGTGGTAGCCATTTAACTGTCGTGTTATGTATATTGTCGGGTCCGTGGGCTTTTCTGTTTTTAAGTCTGCGTAATGTCAGTCTTAGGTCGTCAGGTGTTGCGGAGGGGAGTATGTCATTGTCTGGCTCTCTGTCGACGCGTCGGTCCGCGCGCTCAGCCGCTATCTCGAATTCCTCGTCTTCGTCGGGCAGCTGAGGCAGTCTACACTGCAGTTCCAGGCTGTCGGCGAAAGCCTCGGCGTTTTCCTGGTTCGTGTAAACCACCCCCACACTACCGTGGATTGGAGGAATTTTACGGCGAGCGGTCTGTCGCAGGGCCCTCTGCGTTTCCCAGAGGCTGTTGTCTTGTGCATCCAGCGACTCCAGGTGCCTAGCCCAGTTATCCTGGGCCAGTTCATCCAGAGCCGCCTTCACCCGTCTGTTAAGTACGTTTAAGTCATGTCTGTGTCGGGGGCGGGTGGCAAGCCGTTTCGCACGTCGTCTGTCACGTAGTAAGTTTTGCATGTCATCGGGGAGGGTGCCCCGGGGGTTTGTCAGTAGGGGGACAAGGAATAAGCGAACGCTTATCAAGGTGGTACTTCAACCGCAGCTAACGTACTCCTCCACGGCGTGGGGTCACGCGGCAAAAAGCCACTTAAAGTCATTACAGGCTGTGGAAAACATGGCCCTCCGTACGGCCACCGACGCGCCCTAGTCCGTAAGAAACACTGACATATTACGAGACTTACAATACACAAACGCTACACAGACAATAAGACAAAACGCGGAGAAACGGTTTGACGTAGCCGCTAGACATGACAGTCCCCTCTCAGGCAAGCCGTTGACTACGTACCCGACGTGACCGACAAACACAAAAGACCTAGACACCAACTTTTTGACCCTGGGTGACCACCCCAACGACATCCCCCCTCCTGCCCGCTAACCTTTTCTGTTTCAGAGACTGCCAGGATCAAGAAACGAAGACAACGACACACACACACACACACACATACACACCCGCCATACCCTCCTTACCACTCCCCTCCCGCGCTAGCCTAAGGGCCAGCTTAGCAAAGCGCATCCCAGGCTGCATAGCCGCACTACCCTACCCAACCATACCACAGATAAACATGACACCACCCCCTAGGTTTACACAGACGAGCTGGCGAAGCAAGAAGAGCGCCAGAAGAAAGGGCCCTATCCGGCGGGGCCCAGCTAGGACAAAAGGAGGTCCCACAAAGCGCCTACACCGGCCGCATTTGCGGTCGGGGTGGACGACGGATGGGGCCCACCTACGAAGGCTGTCCAGGTCTACACGAGATGAGGCAGGATAAAGAGGGATAATCCCCCTCGATCCCAAATAATTGAGGACAATTTCTAGCCATGGAATAATGGCGCGGGTCATAAAACGGGATCCCAATTTGTATGCGCGGCTCATAAGAGTTCACTTCTTACTACATAAGTATTCGCTCCTACGGCTTTATCACAGAATAATATTTATTTTGCTGTAGCTACTCAAGGATTTTATACAATTGTATAAAATTGTATAAAATCCTTGGTAGCTACTAGCTTTATGTCAATTTAGGGACTTTACTGACTTTACATTTGCCAAAGTGACAATGCCAATTGCCAACACTGCCAACTTTGTTTATGTCAAAACTGCAAACGTCAATAAAGACACACGACATTAATATTATGGTTATGATGCCACGTAATTTTAAATAAAATATAAGAACAGTAATGGGTAATTCAGAAAGTATTGATATTCCCGGAGGAGGTACTGATGGATACCATATACTCCGAGTATGAACATTTACATTTGTTAATTTAGTATATAACAATCATACATTTTAGGTACAAGAAAACTCTCCTGGTAGTAAAGTCGGATTACAACCATTTTTTGATTTCATTGTAGCTATAAATGGTACTAGATTAGACAGAGACAATGATACCTTAAAACAAATATTGAAAAATGGAATTGGTATGAAAACATTGGTTAAAAAACATTATTCTTACTGAATAATTTTTAGGGAAACAACTTCCATTAACCATTTACAGCTGTAAAACACAAAGTGTACGAAGCGTAACTGTAGAACCAAGCGATTCGTGGGGTGGTCAAGGATTACTAGGAATTAGTATCAGATTTTGTTCATTTGAAGTTGCAAAGGAAAATGTTTGGCACATTTTGGAAGTTCATCCAAATTCTCCTGCATCTTTGGCAGGTCTTAGACCATTTTCTGATTATATAATCGGTTCAGATTCTATTTTGCATGAAAGTGAAGACCTTTTTAATTTAATTGAAAACCACGATGGTGTAAGTTTAAAGTTGTATGTTTATAACTCCGATGAAGACAGTTGCAGAGAAATTTCTATAACTCCCAACTCACAGTGGGGAGGAGAAGGGTTGGTAGGATGTGGCATAGGTTATGGGTATTTACATCGCATTCCAGTCCGTAGTACTCCAAAAAAACCTAACACAGTTTATAAACCTGGGGAAACTTCACAGAATTTGCCCCCAAAAACTGTTGTATTTAATGTTCCTCCTGTTAATACTGATAATATTAATGCAGAACTGCCTAATATGACAAATTTAGTTCAAAGTACAGCCAGCTTGACATCACAAGCAGGCCAAGGTACTACTGTAGCTTCTCTAACAACAGCACCCTCTAATACACAAATTGTAAGTAATGAAGGAAACGGGCAACCTATAAATTCGACTTTTGCTAGCGCAATTGCAATGTCAACCAGTACTACTGAAGTATATAGTACTAATTTGCCACCTCCTTCTTCAATACCGCAATTCAGTGTACCACCTAATGTACAGCATTTTTCATCTATGCCTACATCAGTACCACCTACCAATGAAGGTGTGCAACAAATACCAATGTATGCTGCTCAGCCTCCAACTGTTTTTAATCCAAACCTCAATTACCAAAATTTAGCTGCATACAGTTATCCCCAAAGTCAATTTGGTAATATGCCAGTTTATTCTAATTATTCACAGCCACAAGTTCAGGAGTTTAATCAACCTAATTTATATTCTGCTCCAACTATTACTAATAGTTCTCTTCCACCACCTCCACTTTCAGGTTTTCAAGCTAACCAAAATAAACCTCTCATATTAGATCCAACAATTGCTGCCAGATCGGCTCAACTATTACTGAGTGGAAATGTCTCCACTTCCAGCTAGAGGTAAAATTAATGCCATCGTGAAGTTTGTTATTCTAATTTTCTCGGTTATGCAATATTTAATACATTAAATATGTAAAAGAGGCATTAAATCTGTTAGTTCACATAAGAAAAATTCTAAATTATACAGGGGTAACTAAAATGCTTGGAGGGATTCTATGTCGTAATTTAATTAAAAATATTAGTTTAAACATTTCTGAAGATGCTTAAATTTTAGGATACAAATAAAACATTTTTTAATAAAACGACTATTTCATTCTTAGACATGCAGTTTTAGTTTTTAATTGTTCACAAATTGATGTAGATACCATAATTTTTTTGTACAGGGTGTACCTAACAAAAATAAACTAAAACATAAAATACAAAAATGATTTATTTTAATTAAATTTTTTAAACTTCAATCTCTATTTCTTCATTAAAAGAAGACTTATTTAATTTTTGTGAAATCTATGTACATACCTTTGAAGTTTGTTGGTTCACATGTCCACTATATTGAGGGAATGGATTTAGTATATTTTAGCTCAGGGTTTCTTTTTCTTCAAATGTATTCCAAATTGGAATCTTATCAGCACTAAAGGTTTTAGAAAAAATGTATTCCTGTTGTATGTTGTTAGTTGGGATACACTGTTTTTAAGATTAACGGTAAAAAAATTAAATATTTTTTGAAAATAAAGCATAAAGCACACTTACAGGAACTTTTTTGTTAAATCATGATGTAGAATCTGCCATTAAAGTCTGGCCAAACCCCTGCATTGGACACAAAATGGAACTGTAAAATGTCACCAGTTTCAGTTAATTTTTGGCATTATTACAAAATGGTTTTAAATTAAAAATATGTAAATATTTCTAATAATAAATGCCACATTATTTTTTGAGAACAATTTAAAGTGACTGGAGAGGTTAGTGGCTGGTGTGTATAATTTCATATTACCTCTTCAATCACCACTATTAAAATTCATTATGATGAGATGACATGTACAAAATATTGGTTTTATGTTGCAGTGTCTATTTACATATACATATAATAGTACACTGGGTACTACAATATCGTTACTCATGCCATTTTTTTTTATAAATATGCATTTAAATTTTTGAGTTAGACATTAATGTAAAATAAAAATAAACATTAAATTGAGAGCATATTAATAAAAATAAAATAAGATATAAAAATATTCTTTTTTTAGCTGTAAAACGAATTATAAAAATAAAGTTTCTATTAATCTCAAATATTCTTGAAAGTAATATTATTTAGAGAAAATATTGACAGAAGCAAAACTAATTCTGCTTACAAAATAGAGTTCAATATATTAATTATGACAATATGTCATTTATGTTGCTATAAATTAAGTTGTAAGATTTTTTATCATTTATTTCTGGAGAATCCCAATAATTCAAGATTTGGGAACAACCAAATCTTGATACTATTATGTGTGGATATATTTTGGGATAGTATTTTATATTTGCAGTATTTTGTACTTGTATAAATATCAAATTTTTATTGAATTTTTGTATAAAATATTTTCCAGTGGCGGCTCCTGAAATTTAAAGTGATTAGGTATATTTTGATAAAGTGTGCAACCTTTTAGGGGCTACGTCTGGACTCACATGGAGAGCTTTGTAATGAAAAAATTTCAAACGGTTTGCAAAATATAATATTAAGAGGGATGGCCAACCCCAAAATCTCCAAGGTTTCACATGTATTTGCAAAATTTCTTTTCTCATAATCAACTAACAGATGTAAACAGTTATTTTCTTATTTTTTACAAAAGTTTTGTTTTTCATTTGCAGTTTTAAAAAGTTTGAAATAAAATGTTTAAATATTAATTTTACAAAAAATATTTCGATTATAAAAAAAGTTGCAATTATACCTATGCAACCTTTCTCGGAATAGCATGGTTGACCATCCCGGTTTTGATTTTTTATTACACAAATTTCATTCGAATTGTTTTCATCATAAAGTTCTCTATGTGGGCCTAGTGTCGTCTAAAAACAAAATGAATCCTATACTTCATTATTAAAATATTGCTACATTTATTATTACCATTTTTGTGAGTCTTCACTGACGTTTTCTTAATAATCGTAGTTATAATATCTTTCGTATAAAAATAATAAGTCATCATTTAGAGATACAATAGAAATTGTGCAGTTTTTTGAACAAGCAATTTTAAACACCCAACAATTTTAATTAAAATAATCTCAACCTATTTATAATCTTTTAAAATCTTTTGTTATAATATTCTACACTAATTAATTAAGTCACTACAGATTAATTTTATTTCTGGTCAATATGTGTATTTACAATAAGTAGGATAATAATCTTCATGTTGCTAAATGGTGATATTGTGGGTAAATAACTTATGTAAAAATTATTATATGGAAGTGCAAATCCTCTTTGTTATTGCACAAGGTGAGCGTAATTCTGTTTTTATTGCAGTTTATACATTTGCTTTAGTAAGGATATCAGAATTAGTTTGCAATGATAAGTAATTTCATCGAATAAAGGCTGTTCTTTAATTTTTGAAATATATTTATGGTAGATAAATAAGTTGTTATAAAAAGAAAATTATTGACTTGCCTTGCTATTTTAAGTTATTTTATATAATATATAGTCGAAAATAAATGATAATTGATAAAATTTGGTGTTTATTTTAATTATTTTTATAATTTTCAGCAAAATGAATACCAATGCATAAATCATTAGATGCCATAAATAAGAAGGAAACTTAGGGTTCTTTTCTTGTTTCATTAATAGTTGTCTTTCATTTTAGATAAATACATGACTTCTCATCTCCTTTGACATAAAGAAAACATCCTATTACGAGTATTTATACTCATAGGCGTAGTGGATACTAATATATAAGGTATATCTAAACTCTAAAAGTTATACTTTTATAAGATATTTCAGTAGACTTGTACATTACATGGGTATTTACATACTGAAACACGATATAGAAAACGTGTTACCGCTAGCATTTTATAGACAAGAAATGGCACTTTCAGTAAGGCAATGATGGAATAAGTAAATCCACCCAGTAAGTGACGAAGTGTAATGCTAAACTAGAGCAACCTTTCATTTTTCTCATTGAAAGATCACGAAGAACATACAAACATCAGAAAATCTTTCCTGTTTTGTCCAACAAAGGAGGAGGGTACCTAAGGCTGCTTTTCGGACTATTTTAATTTTGGATTTAAATTTAAAAAAATCATTTATTTATCATTTGCTATCAATATTCAATTGATTCCACCCGAGTGGAACACTCACCTCCACTCGCATTTAACTCTTAAGTGTTATACAGAGTAACTTTGAGTGGGGGTCATATTATTTATACAGAGGTTTCCTTTGTCTTTAAAAAGCACGTACCAATAGTAAATTTTTTCAAATTCTGTCGTAAAAACTTTTTGTAACCTTTATATGTAATTATTTGTATGACTAACATTATTCTCTATAAAGTCATATAAATTAGCATAATGCTCACTATTAGAATTTGGTGGCATATATAAAATAACAAAGGTATATCATACACAATTAAGAAAAAAATCTAAAACTAAAACTTCATAATAACTGCTGCTTAGTTTAATTAATTAATTTAATTAATTATATAACTGTATGTTTATAAACTTGAGTTATAAGGGTGAGGGTGGGCAGGTAGGTGTGGTGGGGGAAAGGTAATAATAGTCCGGATGAACTTTTTTTAGAAAAATAACATTTGAAGGAAATTAAACACTTTTTAAATGCAGAAAAAAATTAAGCGATACTTTTTCTGGATTATGCTTATATAATTCAATACGAGTTAGGGGTGGTTCCGTTTGGGATGGAATCAATTGAATATTGATAACAGATGATAAAAAAAATGATTTTTTAAAATTAAAATAGTCCGAAAACCGGCCTTAGTTACCCTCCTCCTTTGTTGGACAAAAACAGGGAAGGTACAGAGTGATTCACTATATTTTGACCCCCCCCTTTTAACTTTTTTGTTTTAAGAGTTATAAAAAAATGTTAAATATAAAAGTTGCACGATTTTTTATGAATTTTTCGAAAATGATAGTAGAAAAACAAATGAAGTCCAAACAAAATGGCCGCAGATGTTAACTTTGTTAAGATAAATGGAACACCCTGTATAGTTTTACATATTTGGATAGAACGTTCCCTGTAGAGCATAGCCATATAGGGTTTGTTGGGTCCATCTCTAACAGTTACATCTTGTAACTGTTAGACCCCTTTCAGGCATTTCTGCCTTTTTTCCAATTACTAAGGATTTACAGATTTAGTTGTAATGTATTTTGACAAATCGCACATTAATATGGTCCAAAATACGTACAGGGTATTTTAACTAAATCTCACTAATTAGGCCGTGCGAGGTCTAATTAGTGAGATTTAGATTTAGATTAGTGACAGGTAGTAATGTCTTGACAACATTGTTATTGATTGACAGTATGTACTATTATTTAATTAAAATAGGTTACATAGAAGTAGAAAATTATTTAGAATTAAAATAGAGTATGCAGAATAAGAACTTTGCTCTATTTTAATTCCTATAATATTTCAACTTTCTACTTCTGTGTAACCCATTTTAATTAAATAATAATACAAACTGTCAAACAATAACAATGTTGTCATGACATTACCTGTCACTGTCACGGCCTACCATATAACATTGTCCATGGGAAATTAGGCCTCTCACGGCCTAATTATAGTGAGATTTATAGTTACAATATCTATATGCATTTTGGACCATATCAATGTCCGATCTGTCAAAATATAACTAAATCTGTAAATCCTTACGTAATTGGAAAAAGGCAGAAATGACTGAAAAAGGTTTAACAATTACAAGACGTCTTAATATTTTCTTAATAAAAAACCTTCTTTTCGTTTTTTAAAAGTTTCTTGTTTATTGTTAGAGATACACCTAACAAACCCTATATGGCTATGCTCTACAGGGAACGTTCTATCCAAATATGTAAAAATATACAGGGTGTTCCATTTAACTTAACAAAGTTAACATCCGCGGCCTTTTTGTTTGGATTTCATCTGATTTTCTACTATCATTTTCGAAAAATTCATAAAAAATTGTGCAACTTTTATATTTAACATTTTTTATAACTCTTAAAATAAAAAAGTTAAAGGGGGGGTCAAAATATAGTGAATCACCCTGTACCTACATTTTCTGATGTTCGTATGTTCCCCGTGATCTTTCTATGCCAAAAAACATAACTACAAAATGAGAAATGCGATGATCCCTGTAGCCATGGAGACTACACAAGGAGCAAGAACTTTATATAAACAAATATCATACCAAATAGAAATAGTGGAGGAGAGATAAAGGAATAATAAGCAGTTTGAATTAAAAATCAATCATGTCGTTTTTGTGATGTTAAAAATTTTAAAATAAATAATGTAAGCTACTTTGAATTAGATAAATAAATCAATAAATAATGAAAATATGTGAGTGTACAACAAGTGTTTTCACCAAAATCGTTTTATCAGCCAGTTTATAGGTAGTGTATGGTGTACAAAGGAACGCTAGCGACCCTAGCGGTAAAAACTATAAGTAATTTCTATTATTGCATTGACAAATTTTGGCATTTTCCCGTATGAGTTCGTACTACTTGTCAAGTCTCCCTGCCTATAGCGCTCATTTTTACTTGTATAGTTAGGCTTGTTTGGAAATGTGATACTTTAGTTTTGGTCGGGTTCTCTATTTTTGAACAGCCCCAGAATCTACGCAAAACGGGCCTTTTCATCAAAACTTTTTTTAATGCGCATGCGTCAACGTCGGCCATCTTTTTCGTACTGTTTTTTGTAAACACGAAAACACGTGTTTAATTATTAATTAATTCAATTAATTAATTAATTATCTAACACATTAAACATTAATTTTTTCATATTAAGTAATACATCAGGTATACACACATAATAAAAATATCATGTTTTGCTTCAAAGCATTAAATTATTTATTTTCTCAGTTAACCTAAAAATTCAATCTAAATAATTTTGCAAGTACCAATAATTTATTTTTAGTTAACTAAAACTGAATTACAATAATTATTCATTTTAATTATATTTAATTTTAATTATTGCTTACATACATAATAAGAATAGGCATATGAGTATATAACTAATTAGTAATTACTCATATGAGAATAGGTACGCCTAACCTCTCAATCAGCTCTCTTCTATTTTCTTTTTGTGGACGTCCGTGACATTTTAGCCACCTTTTTAATTGTTCACAATTGTGCTTCGACTGAACTATGGATTAGTATTACACCATCAATAATTTGTTCTAATGAACTATTTGTTTGCACGTTTGCAGAGATAACACTGCTTTCCCAGCCATTATTATCAAAAACAGTACGGAATTTGAAAATTCCTACCTTTTCAAGGTGGTTGCGCTTGCGCTTAAGCCGGTCCCAGACGATGTGTCCAACGTTCGTTCCAATGTTGGTTCCAATGTTCGTTCCAACGTTGGACACAATTTTCGCCATAAAAGTACCTATGGCAAGTGTGTCTGCTACACGATGGGGTAAACTTTTGTTGAACATTAGAAATTAATTACGATAACGATTAATATTTAAATTATTATTATATTATTAAATTAGAAGTTGTAAAGCTTTTTTATAATAAAAAAAATTAATTGAATCATGTAATGTATTACGTAAGGTGGGGGAGGGGGGTTATGAAAAATTTTACGGTTTCGTTACATGGGGGGAGGGGGGAGTTGAAAATGTGAAAAAATACCCTTACGTAATTTATGGATGACCCCAAACACACGATCGCTCGTGTGGGTGCGTGACGAACGATGCTTCCAATATGCTTCCAACGCTGGAAGCTCCTTTGATGCGGCTTTAATTTACCGACAGAAGCTCGAACGTGGCATGTAGCCAACGTTGGACACATGCAATTGGCCAGCGTCCGCCCACACGATGTGGCCAATGGCGATGTGTCCAACGTTGGAAGGCATTCGCCACATCGTCTGGGACCGGCTTATGCAGCCAACGTTGGACACATGCAATTTGCCAGCGTCCGCCCACACGATGGCGATGTGTCTAACGTTGGAAGGCATTCGCCACATCGTCTGGGACCGGCTTTATCAGATCGTGAAACGCAATAGAACCTTAGTGACCGAGAGTGTAGCAAATGTTTAGAGAGAGAGGGGTATACGAGTGTATTTGCTATCTCTCTCTAGCAACATGCAATCGCGTGCTGCCACTGGGACGCTGCCTCCAGTAGTATATTCTCTAAGAATAGACCAATAGACAAAATTGCGAACCATTCAGAACTGTCCCGATTCTTTTGAAAACCAAAATACATCAGAATTTGTGAACTAAATTAATTTTATCTTGTGGAAATGAAATCCTTTTATATCCAGTTTCAATTTTAAGATACGTAGATAATGTAGATATGAGTATTTGTATTTGTATGTATTTGTCAAGAATGTGTGAATATTTCTATTGACACTAAATAGTAAAAAAATTTGTTCATCTAGAAAAAATATATCCTATGTACCTTCATATCTAAAGAGTTCTTTTTCGAAAAATAGATTAGCCGTATGTTAAAAAATTCTTTACTATTCTGAAAAAATAATTACCAAAATTCCACCGATTTCTTTAGATTTGGAAGTAGAAAATGATAATGCAGAAATAGGTACTCCAGTACATTTCGTAAAAAAAAATCATGAAATGAAAAAATTACAAAATGTGCGGAAATAAGGCGATCATCGGAAATAATAACTACGCATGCGAGAAATCAACAGTTCTAAATATGTAATTCGTGCTTGGGAGCAACTTCGGTTGGTTCAGAAAAATTCCGAATCTAATTGGAATAAAACCAAAACAAATATCTTGCGAAATTCTGAACCGTTCAAAGAAAACTCGAACATATATTTCAGTCTGCGCATGATTAGAACGGTTCGGAATCGAGGAGCCTAAACAAAGCTTTTGCCTTTTAAATAATCGAACAGAATGCATTTAATTTTCTCTAGGGGATAGTTAAAAGACAGTACCTACTTATCAATTCTATAGTTCTCAATAATTTTGCATGCTTATCGTAGATATTCGTTTCTAAAAAAAAAAAAAAATCGTGTCCACCTAAATGAGAACACAACTGATATGTACATATATCTTGTTATACTGATTTTAGAATATTTCTGCAACGGCTCTTTTTACATTTTACAATTTTTTTTCGTAGTAGATATCTTTGAACAAGTCGATTTAGTATGCGCCACCCTCATTAGCAATCAAAATACGAGTTGTCTCCAAAGTTTTAGGTCAATTAAGATAAATCATCAATGTAATCTCATGAAAATAATACATACCTACAAATAGTAATAAATATAACAAAATATGGGATTATATTTACACATTTTTTAAATAATTTAACTTGTGCTTCCAAAAATAAAGTCTGACAAGGTATGTCATAAAAATAATTCAAAAAGAATGTCTCCATATCACCTATCAATCCCCGTTGTGATTAATCAACTAATTTGCTGATATGACTTTAATAATCTAGGATAATAAATGCATTATCCAATTAATTTATAGACATTTACTAATAAAACAGATAAAATGATAAAAAGATTGAGAAATTGATATTAATATCGACAACACAAATTACAAATATAGTGTTGTTTGTTTAAAACTTTTGTAATTGGTGCCACGGTAAATTATGTTGCTTCTTTTTTGTAATAATAATCGGACTACAAGCATAAAATTAAAAAATAAGAATGTAAGGAAAAGAAGATCTGGAATAATATCACAACCAACTGAATACTTGGAAGATGATGAATATGTAACTTATTTAAAAAGTAAGGAGTAAGTATGAATAATTCTTAGTTTCAATTTTCTTTTTTTTTTTAATTATGATTTTAAAGCTTAAAATCTTTCGGGGGGTTTAAATAAATATTTTGCCACAAAAATAAAAAGGAGTTGCAAGTACGTTGATATTTCTATTCTACATCCGATGATTTAAATGTAGACATAAATATATTCTGCTCTCAAATATTAAAAGTATAAAGACAGCTAAAAATAATTTTGATTTTTTAATTACCATTTTTATTTTTCCAAAATGCTATGTTATTAGGGAAATTTCTATTATTTTGTGGCCATTCAAAAAAGTTTATTCTATTATTTTTTCTTCTATTTCATGTAACCAATTGAAAGTACATGAACTAGTGGCAAAAATTATACATTTGATTTTTTATCATACTTTCATCAACTTTATAGTAAAATTGTTGATAATACCAACAATGTTGGTGACACATTAAATACGTTTCCAATACTATTTAAAGATCATTCTTCTCTTGCATATTAATAGTACAATGATTTTCTATTTTATTTTTTAATTTTACCTAATTGAAAAATCCTACGTTCTAATAAGAACATTTTTATTCGCTACGGGCTACGGGAAAGCTTCCCCTGTACATTTTCCCGGAAATATCAGTAAATAATTAAATATTAGCTTCTGCGTAAGTTAAGTAACATAATATTCTGTAATTTTATTTCATTTCTCATTACGTATAAGTATCCATATTATCATTAACATTACATTACAATTATTATTGAAAATTATAAAGCTGAAGTAGTAATGGTTATACTTTTCTTTAAGAAAGTCATTGCTTTAAGTACCTTATTCTCCAGTAATGTAAAATTAATACTGTTTAAATTCGGTCTGATTAAAAATTCATATATTTTTAGTTTTTCAACTATTTTGTACTAATATATCGCAGTCCGATAAAGAACGTTCGCATAAGTTGTTATAGATATATTACTCTTAAACTATAAAATTAAATATTTCAATATATAGACTTTTCAAAAATAGGTAGGTACATAAGTCGGAAAGGTAGATAGACTGTCAAAATTTAATGACATTTGGACGAATAGAAGCGGAGTTATTATACTTCTGAAGTGACAGTATGTTTGTGTCATCAGTACAAAAATGAGCTTCGAACAAAGAGCTAATAATAATTTTTGTTTTATACCTGGTAAAACTTTTACCAAACGTTTCAATTGATGACAGATGAACTAAGTTTATAGTGATGATTGTGTATGGCCCTTAGACAAAGCGAAATCGGCGGCTTCGTATGAAAAAATTAGTGGATTTGATTTTTAGTTAGAAGTAGCTTAAATGGGGGCAAAGTTGCATAATCAGGGGACAAACATTATGCCTCAAATCAAGGCTAACATGATTAGTTTTCGAAATATTTGAAAAAAAACGAAATATTGGAAATCCGTTTATGTTTAATTTCAGCCTTATTTGAGGTGATTGAAAAACGAAGAACACTTTCTCATGGCCACTTTTCGCCCTCTATCGAATGGCATCATCAATTTTTATATGTACCGTTTCGTCTCTTCAGGACCTTCATCAACTTCATTTTTTCAAATACGACTGGAAATTTTATTACATTTTTTTGCAAGCCTTCATAACCCCCAATACTGTACTGCCTCAGACCGAACCAGATTAAGACGTTTTGTCTCCAAATATTCATCAAGAATTAATTTGTCATAATAAAATTAAAATTGTAATAATGTTTTAATTTTGACGCAACAACTTATTGAGTTATGTATGGCCAATTGATGGTAATAGTTAATAAGAATAAATGTTTTATTGTAACGTGTGGTGGTAATAGTTTAAATAACTAGATGGATTTCACAGGGTTTAACGACACTTACAGTGTACGATAATGCAATAAACAAAGAAATCTAAATAAAAAATTTAGATAAATTTGGAACGAATACACTGAAGATGAATTTTTCGAGACAAAACGTCTGAATCTGGTTCGGACTGAGGCAGTACAGTATTGGGGGTCATGAAGGCTTGCAAAAAATTTAATAAAATTTCTAAGATTGTATTTAAAAAAATTAAGTTGTTGATGGTCCTGGGGAGACGAAACGTTACGTACAAAAATTGATTATTCCATTCAATAGAGGGCAAAAAGTGGCCATGAGAAAGTGTTGTTCTTTTTTCAATATCACCTCAAACACGGCTGAAATGAAACGAAAACGGATTTCCAAAATTTAGGTTTTTTAAATATTTCGAAAACTAATCATGTTAGCCTTGATTTTTTAAAAGACTAATGTTGGTCCTCTGATCGCAACTTTGCCCCCATTTAAGCTACTTCGTACCTCTTACCGTTTCCGAGATCCCTGTAGTGAGAAGCGAATTTGTAACAGCCTGTATATTTATCACCTCACTTTTTGATATATTTTAGTAATGCTGCATTTTTATTTATTAAATTTATTTTTTGTTTTTTGAATATTATAAATTTTTCAAATATATAAGTTTAAGACATTTTACTCTTTATTTTTTATTTACTTTAAAATATATATCGAGATATATGAAAAAGTGAGGCGCTGACGGGGTCGGCGCACAGTGGAGTGCCTGAGCGGCGCGGCGCGTCGCGCAAGTCAAAATGTATATTGTTAATAGGTAAAATAATACGCATTGCAATGTAATTACACCAAATAACTCCTCAGTATTTTGTCAAGGGATGTTTAAAGATGACTTTTAAACTTTACTAACATCAAAAATTTTTTGTTATTGTTTTTGAGTCTTGAAAATGACCGTTTTTGCATTTTTTCGTACTTTAAATTGTTTATAACTCGGAAACCGTTGATTTTAGGAGCATAGTGCATAGGAACTATTTTGTTTAGAATACCCCAAAAAACCTAAAAAAAAGCGTCCGGAGCAAAACAAGTAATTTTTGCAAAAATTAGTTTAAACAAATTGTGACCAGGTTACCGGCCGGTAACATTTTAATCCTCATTCAGGGAGGATTCACGGAGGTGATTATGCAAAAAATCACAAAAAATCAAAGCCGATTTCGCCTTGTCTACCTGTTCATGAGTGGTATAGGTACGCAGACATAAATGATGAGGAACATGTTGGCCAACAGAAATCCGTGAAATTCATGGAATTTAATTTGAGCTTCACACAAACAATTTATCGCTTTTTGGTCGAACATATTTGAGCTACCGAAAAATGTGTTTGTTCCCGAAAAGTTGACTGACGATCAAAAATTGCTCAGAATCCAACATTCAAAGAACATCATCAAGGAGGCCAAAAAAGATAAAAACTTCCCTTTATTGTGACTGCTGATGAAACGTGGTGTTTTTAATGTAATCCAGAAACCAAGCGCCGAAATGCCGAGTGGACGGCGCCAGACGAGCCAAAACCAAAAAATCTCGTTTGGAGAGGTTAAAAGTAAAAACAGTGGTTTGCTTTTACGGTTCCAAGGGCATTGTTCACAGAGTTTGTTCCATCGGGCCAAACAGTTAATGTACAATTCTATCGTGGCGTTTTGAAGCGGTTGGTGCATCTTATTCATCGAATTCAGCCAGAATATCGCCCAGAAGGAAGTTGGCGTTTGTTAAACGATAATGCGTCATTTTATTCATCGACACTCGTGACCGATTTTTTGATAAAAATCGCATTTTAACTCTCAACTACTCCCCGTATTCGCTTGATTTGGCACCGTGCGACTTTTACTTTTTCGGAAAAACGCATTTGCCGATGAAAGGAAAGCGTTTTGTGGACATAGACCCCATCCAAAAATATTTTGAATAAAATAAACCGTTTTTGCAAAAAATGTTGTTCTTATTTTTAAAAAGTCCAGTTTGCTTTGGAAAGTTCTTTGTATCTATATTATTTGCGTAGTGCGCACTACTCTGTGGTGTTCCGAGATACGATATTAAGCCACTGGCCTGTGACGTCCAGATCCTTGATGTTTACATAAGAGCCGTATCCAAATTCTACGTAACTGTGAAAATATCTGTATTTTTGTAAATAGCTGTTGCTCCTATCTAGAAATTTGACCAAAATCTTTTTTCTCAAACTTTATTCTGATTTAATTTCAATCCATTCTGAATTCCCTGAGTACCCCTTCTCTTTTAATTACCCTGAACCCTAACCTTCCTTACATTTCTCGGACTTCTCGTGAATCCCCACGACTTCCTCTTGAATTCAGTTGAGTCGATTTTAAATATTTTTATTTTTTTTTCGGTATAAAGAAGGAAAGTACATGAAGATATGCGTAAAATCTTTATACTCAATTGATATCTACAATTAAATAGCTCTTTCTACTACTAACAAATGTTTGATGTAAATATCTATGTTGATATTGGATAGTAACGAATGTGTGTGTGTGTGTGGGTGCGTGCGTGCGCGTGCGTGTGTGCGGGTGTGCGGGTGTGTGCGTGTGTGGGTGTGTGTGCGTATGTGCTTGGGTGCGTGCGTGCGTGCGTGCGTGCGTGCGTGTGTGGGTGCGTGCGTGCGCGTGCGTGGGTGCGTGCGTGCGGGTGTGTGCGTGCGTACGTGCGCGCGCGCGCGCGCGTGTGTGTGTGGGTGCGTGCGTGCGCGTGCATTTGTGCGTGTGTGCGGGTGTGTGCGCGCGTGTGTGTGTGGGTGCGTGCGTGCGCGTGCATTTGTGCGTGTGTGCGGGTGTGTGCAGGTGTGCGGGTGTGTGCGTGTGTGTGTGTGTGTGTGTGTGCGCGCGTGTGTGTGTGTGGGTGCGTGCGTGCGCGTGCATGTGTGCGTGTGTGCGGGTGTGCGTGCGCGCGTGCGTGCGTGGGTGCGTGCGTGCGTGTGTGTGTTATAAAGTATTTCATTTGTTATTTTAATTAAATACACGTTATGTAATAAAATGACATGGTGTACCTGACTCATCGACACAAATACCAATAATCATCTATTAATAATAATGATCATTTTTATTTCAGTAAAGAGGCCATGTCCTAAAAAAAAGCTCAAATTTATACAAATTACTAATATGAAAGAATAAATGAACATTTTATTAAGAAGCAGTTCTCTTTGAGGTCTTTTTAAAATTTTGTTATTTAAACTAATACAAATAGTTCTGTTAATATACAGAGTGTCCAGAAACGAACGGATCACAACACAAGGTAACTTTCTTGGATGAAAATAAGCCAATTTAAATTAGAAATTTATTTACTTTTAACGAAATTTGGCATAGACAACGAAGTTTTGGTTTGGCGATGTCGAAGATGGACATATATTTAATTTTTACCTAAATCATAGAGGTGATTAAGAATAAGAATATCTGAAATATGCACTTGATCGGGACTAAGCCCTAGTGTCTGAAAATCACTGTCTCTTTTATTTTTCACTACTGTAAATTCACTAAGAACGGCTTCCTTGGAGCTTAAATGACCTTGGTATAGCGTAAGGCTGACGGGGAGCGTTGGAGCTCGAGACCTTATATTTTTTGTATTGAGAAATAATAACTCAGAAATGAATAACAATATATATCGTTTATTAAAAATAATATTAATAATACAGAATGGTTAAATGCGGTTTCTTGTATACGACTGTTGCTCGGAGTTCACCAGGCACTGTGTCCGCTGTCACAAGGGGTGGCTACGCCGGCTTGGTGTCGTCCTTGCGGCTCCACGTTAGGATTTTCAAAAGTAGGGTGAAAATTTTCGGAAGGTCGGCGATTAATTTGACGGGTGTAGTGGATGTCTGGGTGTCTTTCTGTGATGCATTGAACGGCTTACATCATGCTGCGGAAGACCGTTTGTCGCGGTTGGGGAGTTTCAGTATGTTTTTGAAACATCCGCGAATTTTCATTTTTTCATCAGACCTTCTTCTCCTGGTTGGAGGGCTGCTTGGGCCTGCTTTGGCAGCTTGCCTTTAGTGCTTTGGCATGAAAAATCCGTGGTTTGGGTGGTTCGTTGGTAGATTTAAAACATGGGCGAAATCTGAAGTATCCATTCCTACGACACTATCTAAACCCTAAGCAACGGTATTTTATTTTCCACTGGTGCTGATACTGAACTGACACAACACTGGTGTGTGTAAATAAATCTTAATCCAGGAATTAATCACTGCTTCTCAGCTTTTCAATGCGTGTTTGTCCCAAGATTCAAAATGATACTCATGTACCTGTCGCAATGGTGAACTGAACATACAAATTAAACCGATTTGACTACAAGATCATTTTTTGATTTCTCACAATTTCTATATAAATTCATCAGGATTCACTAAGGTGAATTCATAACTGCTTCTTCAGTTTATTCATAAAACTGATCGCTATAAACACAAATGGCACAATCCTGTTCAAAAGATATTCTTAGGATATATTGTGGAGTACACCCCATATCTTAGGAATGTGCGTTTCAGGCTATGTCTAGCAGTAACACGTTCGATGGATATCTTCTGTTACAAATCATGATATCCTCTTGTTGCTCATACTGTTGGTCCGTCCTGTATCTGTCATTCATCTTGTCGATACTCGGTTGCACTAAATGACGTCACGAATTAGTACTTAAGCAAACAATTGCATTTTACGCGTCAAACTGATAATATGATAATTAATCATTAATCAACAAACCACAAGATGTATATTTACTACATGAATATATTACGGTTATAGATATTTCTAGATATTTAAAAAAATGCAGGCAAGTTGCCGACTGAAGACAGTTATTATATTTTTCCCAAATGACAACAATTTAATAATGACTCGTCACTATGACCAATTATGCTAATTATTCTGTATGTTATTCACATTATTTTCATCTCGTAATTACCTGATATCTGTTTTTAGGGAGCAAAATTTAATTCGAACAGCTCTAGAAAACAATGATTTCCTCTCTCATATCCTACAAGAGAAACGACTGCAACATTTCATCGACTGCATGTACAAACAACAAGTAAAAGAAGGAGAAACCTTGATAACAGAAGGTGAGTCAGGGTCTCACTTGTACATTTCGAATAATGGAAGATTCGAGATAACAATACAAGAAAGCTTCATTGATACATTTTCCGACGTGAGGGTTTTTGGAGAACTGGCAATATTATACTCAGCGAAGAGGCACGCCACGATAACGTGCTTAGAAAATGGCTCGGTATGGACACTTGACTGTCCTGTGTTCAAAAAACTCATTATAAAAACGGCCATAGAAGAGCAGGAGGAAATGGTGTCTTTCTTAAAAAACGTGCCCAAACTTAACACTGCCTCCAAGGAGCATTTGTATCAAGTCACTAATCTGCTGAAGATTGAATTCTTTGCTACAGCCAAAGAGATTGTGAAACAGGGAGAAGGCGGAAATAAATTTTACATAATTAGAGCAGGATCTGTAACCGTTATAAGGAATAACGATAAAGTCGCTCAGTTAGGGAAAGGACAATTCTTCGGAGAATTAGCGCTTCTAAAGGATGACTTTCGACAAGCGACTGTCGTAGCGGACGCACCAGGAACTGAATGTTTAACACTGACCCGAAAAGAATTCATCGATCACTTTGGCGAAGTAGATGAGTTTATTAATTTGAAAATGAAATATCTTGACACAGAAAAAGTGGTGGAGTATACGGATGTTAATCTTGATGAATTCGAAATTTTGAAAACTTTGGGAATAGGAGGTTTTGGCAGAGTAAAACTAATAAGACATAAATCCTACAGAGACCAGGTTTTCGCTCTAAAGTGCATGCAGAAAATGGAAATTATAGCGAAAAGCCATCAAGACCAGGTTTACAATGAAAAAAATTTACAGATGGCCTGTAATAGTCCGTTTATCGTTAGGATGTACAGGTCTTTTCGAGATTCCAAATATGTTTACTTATTGCTTGAAATATGTTATGGGGGAGACTTGTGGAACCTTTTGCACAAACAGAAAAAACGAAATTTCGAAGAGTCAGCCGCTAAATTTTATTCAGGTAGATTTGGTTTGTTCTTAGTAAAATATAAATATGCGAATATCTAGATACTATAAAATATAAGATTTTGCCTTCAACCAATTTCAATTCAATCACAAAAATGTTGGACATCAAAATTTTTTTTATATCCACTTTTCAAGTCATAAAATTACCTAAAATATATTGAATTTAGAACAAATTGTGCTAGTTCCATTACTTTTTTCAAATAGTGATTGCTTGCATATGCCATGAAGACGTTTGACATCAGCTATACATATATTCATTTTTAATACATTTTTCATCGTAGAAAATTTATTTCTATATCAGGTTTGAATATGTCTCTACTTATATTTAATGGAAAATATCTCAAAATTTTTCAATAGAATTTTCAATAAAATATTTCAAGTACAAAGTCAGCAGATTAATCCACGTAGGTTCTGTTTAATCCTACCATAACCGTAACCCTTGTATTCCATTGTTTAATTTGTTTAGTTAGTTGTATCACAAAATTGATTGTAGAATTATTGTGAAGTCGTAAATGTTATGACGTGTATATAGATTTATTACTGTTATTGTTTTATAGATAAATTTATTTCGCATCGACAAATTTATTGCCTGTAATGCATACATTTTTCTTTTGTGTTGTTTTATTTGTCTTGACTATACGTAAATTTATCAAAAATTAAATATAATTTAAAATGTATTATGTTATATACTAGAAAATAAAAATAGATAAAAAATATGAATCTGTGATAGATACAAAGCTATATTTTAACTGATACAAAAAAATATAGTTAATCGATCAAGTCATGAATCAGAAAAAGTGTGTGATATTAGTAAACTAAAAAAATTTAATAGAGTTAGAAACTATTAAATGTTGCGAAAATATATTTATAGAGACATTATACATGGTACAAATACAAGTATAAATCAGGATAAATAACTTATTTAACTGGGAAAATATGGAAAAACTCATTTAAAATTCAATTGATTTTTATTATTCGAAATCTATATCTTTAATGAATTGGGATTTTATATGAAATTATGTAGTAGCATTTTAGCAAATTAAAGATTAAAACTCTTTTAACGATAATAGGCGAGCGGTTTACCCCTAAAAAGACGCTTCTAAATGAAGGTAACCGACTAAATTTTTAAAACAAAAACCTACAGCATGAACCTTTTTTATTTTATAAAGTGTATTTTTCTGATAATTTACATATTTTTTTTTATATTTTTCGGCGTGGTCAGTCAATTGTTATAAACAAAAAAGTTGTAAAAAAAATTACTCGCGGAATGGCTTTGAAAAGTGTTTTATTGTAAAATGGACCAATATCAACACTTTTTTTTCTTTGACAAAAATTCGAAAATGCTTCGTTTCCGAGATCATTACAATTTAATGTGAAAAAAGTGACGAAATCGACAAAGTTTCGGATTTTTTTCTCAAAAACTACAGAACAGAGTAATTCTAAAAAAGCATAATAATCGCCAGATCTTCTACTTTAAGATATATTTTTTTTTTGGTATAGGTCAATTATTTTATTATAATATTTTATTATATAAAAGCTAATTATTTTTGGAGCATTACAACCCAGTGAAAAAGCATATGTTTTATTAGAAAATAATCAATATTTCGATCCAAATTATACATGCAATCATTATATATTATACACAAGAATTATATTTCATACACTTGAATTACAAAAGCAGAACAGTGATAAAAACATGGAAACAATAGTGGTCTCCAGATACCGATGTATTGGTTTTACCTGTTGCACATTATCACATGTTTTTGATGGTTTTCACACAGGAAACATTGTCAAAAATTTATACCTGTACATACTAGTAGTAAACATTAATGGGCCAATAAAAAGTAAAAGTATTTTAATAATGCATGCTATCAGTGGCTGTGATACGACATGTTCGATATCTAATATTGGAAAAAAGACTGCTTTAAAGGCTTTAATAAATAAACTTACAAATGATGAATTAAAAATATTTGCTAATTTAGAAAGTTTAACTGTAGAAGATGCGCTTGAAATTTTGACGTTACATTTATCAAAAATTTATGATTCTCAAAATAAATGGAGAGATTGCTCAAACTCTATAAATAAATTAAGACATACAATTGCTTTAAAAAAAATGCTGCAAGCGATAAATTGCCACCTTCGTACCCAGCATTATTGCAACATTATTTGAGGTCAAAATGGCAAATAAGTGAATGGAAGCAGGCTAGAAATAGTGCAATTGTAACTCCATTGACACATGGATGGAAAATCGAAAATGGTTTGGATTTTAATTATTTCGAAGGAGAAACTGCGTTAGATATGCTTCCAAAATATTTTTGTTCATGTAGTTGGAAATGTTCTACGAAAAATTGTAACTGTTTGTCATCGAACCTGGATGCTGTGCAGTCTGTGCGTGCTCAGAAGAATGTCAGAATGTTCCATCCGAAATTGATAATGAAACGCTTATTTCAACTCAAGAACTTGTCGAAAATAACGAAAAACTTATTATTTAAAAATTAAATAAAAAAGAAATTAATATACTTTTATTGCTCTTAATATTTTTGTAAAATAAAAATAAAATAATTATCCTATACAATAAATTATCCAATAACTTTTTTATTTTTCGAGACCGCTAGGTCAATTATTATTATTAGGTTAATTTTACGATTTAAAAAGCTTATTTAGTTTAGTTTTGGTATAACTTTCAAGTCAATTTTAGCCATTTATAAAACCAAAAATCGAATATTTAAATTTTACTAATTACTTGCAAAAACCTTACTCCGGCTACAAAACCAAACAAAATGATCTTTTGAACATTTGTACTGTTAACATATATCGATTAAAAAAAATCATAATAATGTTTATTGTAAATATAATCTAATCCAAGATATTGTAAAAAGAAAATTTAAATTTGAAGTGTTATCATAATTTTCTTTAAAAGACTTTTTTTACTCGCTTTAGACCTTCAATAAAATGATTGACCCATACCAAAAAAATATATCTTAAAGTAGAAAATCTGCCGATTATTATGCTTTTTTTAGAATTAAAATCTGTTCAGTAGTTTTTGAGAAAAAAATTCCGAAAGTTTGTCGATTTCGTCACTTTTTTCACATTAAATTGTAAATATCTCGGAAACGAAGCATTTTTCGAATTTTTGTCAAAGAACAAAAAGTGTTTATTTTGGTCCATTTTACAATAAAAAACTTTTCAAAGCCATTCGAGGAGTAATTTTTTTTACAACTTTTTTGTTTATAACAATTAACTGACCACGCCGAAAAATATAAAAAATATATGTAAATTATCAGAAAAATACACTTTATAAACTAAAAAAGTTTCATGCTGTAGATTTTTGTTTTAAAAATTTAGTCGGTTCATGCCTTTTTTTAGGGGTGAACCGCTCGCCTATAATATTTGTCAGCTTCAACTACTTTTGAGTAGATAATTGGAATTATTTCTAATTATCTACTCAAAAATATGTTTAGTGTGTAGAAATACACACTAAACATATTTTTTTACTGCATTGAATGGCTGTCCAATTAAAACAAAACGTTATGCCAATAATAACAGATAGATATAAAAAATAGATATTCAACAGATGAGTGCCCAAATAGAGAATACAGAGATAGAGATAAAAAAATTAAAATTTATAAACATAGTACATTATCCATTTCGTGTATGGACAGAAATACAGGGTGTTTAAATTAAAACTTCCCACCTGGAAAATATAGGAATTAAAAAAAAAACATGACAGACGTCGATTTGCTTTTCAAGGAGGACACCCATCACGGGTCCTCCTCGATAAGAAAATCGAAGTGTCTCAGGATTTTTTTGTTTTTTTTTTAAATTCCCATATTTTCCAGGTGGGAAGTTTTAATTGTAGCACCCTGTATACACATTTGATACTATTAACTTTTTAGGTTGCATTGTAGAAGCATTGGAATACCTCCACAAACGTAGTATAATCTACAGGGACTTAAAGCCGGAGAACGTGATGGTCCACAGCAACGGCTACTTAAAACTGACTGATTTTGGGTTCGCCAAAAAAATTGATTCCAAGGAAAAAACATATACATTTGTTGGTACCGCCGAATACGTCGCACCTGAATTAATACAAAACAAAGGCTACAACAAGGCGGTGGACTACTGGGCACTGGGAGTATTCATTTTTGAATTGCTCACAGGAAGAACCCCCTTTCACACCAATGATCCTGGTCATTTGAAAACTTACAAGTTGATTTTGAAAGGCATAGATCACGTCACTTTTCCGTATTATATTTCCAGCAAAGCCAGGAGTCTCATAAAAAAATTATGCGCACACACGCCGAGTGACAGGTTGGGCTGCCAAAGGGGAGCCATTGAGGACATCAAATCGCATCCTTGGTTTTCGAGTTTCAATTGGTCTAAGTTGCGTAATTTTGAAATAACTCCTCCGTTTAAACCCGTTCTTCAACACATCGTCGACACGAAGTATTTCGAAAACTTTACGGAAAATAAGACAGTTCCACTGGACGATTTCTCTTCGTGGGATAATGAATTTTAAGTAGATATTTTGTAGAAAATATGGCGAAGGTGCTTTCATTTTTTTTGTTTTTTACTGAAACATTATTTAATAGTTTATGATTTTTTAATAGATTCCAAATAATCTCTTAGGTATACATCTTCGACACTATATTGAAAGATTTGATTGCATATTTGTTTTTTTATGTGGAAAAAGTAAAAATAATGAAATACTTAAAATCCTACTTTCTCCAAAATTATACATGCTAATCATCTCAAATTTATTTATTTATCATTAGAATATTTACTTTATTTATTTATTTTTTTGTACTTTAACAATCTTACTTTAGATAACGTATTTTAACCTAAGTTAATAATACTCCATTCGTCCATTTTAAATATACATATTATGTTTCCCACTTTTGCAGAAAATTCTAGGTAAATAAAGATATAAAATAAAAATATATGTATTTTCTCTATTGGTTTATTATATGCCACTATTTTGTTATAAAATTCTGATACAATAATTACAGTTATTGTAGCTTCTTTTCTACATTAATTCAATCAAATTTCTTAAAAACATCTCAAAATAAAATTTACGTTAGTCTAAAAGCAGAGGTCCACAAACTTTTTTGTCTTGTAGACCACATGCCAATTTTAAGTTACAAGTGTTGCGACCACAAAGCGAATAGTCTACTGCACAATTTTATGAAATATATACCTACTTAATTAATATGTAATTGAGTGTAGTAAATGAAATAATTGTTTACTATGAAATTTATAATAAATCTTAAACAGTTTGATATAGGTATAAGAAAATAATTTAAATTTCAATAATAAAAGTATAATTATATAAGTAAACCGAAATAGGTTGATGGAACTAAAGAGTGTGCCTATTCTAGGAATTAGCAGCAATTAAAATCCAAAGCAATTAAGTTATTGGTTTGACCCATCAACGGAGAATGATCGATCAATCTCGAATTTTCCCATGATTAAAGCATGGAGTCATAAAGTTTCTCAAATCTAGCTCCAAATTTTCATCATATTTCCATAAACAGTTATGTTTTAAAAGTTTTTACTTCAGATGTACTTTAAATGTCTATCATAGGAAAGTAAAGTACACTATCTGTGTTATGTGAATTATTCCATTTATGGAAAGCCAAAGTTTCGGTCACGACCAACTTATGAAGAATGGAGTCCATTCTGGTGGACACCCATGCACCCCCAATTTTTGTTTTCGTTGGCATGGACCTCTTGCAATTTCGGGTCAACCCCTAAGGGTCGATATAGACCACTTTGGGAATCATTGGTCTAAAGTATGGTATTGTGATCATTAGTTACACAAATTACTGTGAAGAGATTTTTAGATCTTTTGTAATGATAAAATGAGATAAAAATTAGTTTTCGTAATAAATATTATCCTTACATGCTATTAATAATTTTAATTTTGGAGATACGCAATTTTTATGTGATCATATTTATATAAAAATTATAGCTGTTTGCACATTATTGTAAACATTTTTTGGATATGTAGGTTACTTTTTACGTTAAACGATGCTCAATATATATAGTTTATTTTGAAATTTTCTTCGTTGTATGGTGTCCATTTCTTAACGTATCAAATTTGTAAAAACAGTGAATATATCTCGTGAACTCTTATAATAGGTATCAGTTTAAGATTTCGAAGAAAATTTCACATAAAAATACATTTTCATTAACTCAAAATTGGCTAGAAGAGAGCTTAAAATATACTTTACTTAACTCACTACTTTAACCAACTAGTGACTATTCGCATATCTACTTATTAAAACGTTGAATAAATTATTATTTTTATTACAAATTATCCCTAACATTGAATAATTCGACTCATGAATTCAAAAGATAGGATTTTATCTTCACTGATAATCGAGAAAACTTCTTTATTTGTATTTAATGGATTAATAATCTACAGTTAGCAATATATCAATGGATACCGTGTAAAGAACAATAGACACAAATATTTACTAAAAAAGAACCGCGCATAAGACCACCTTCCTTGAAATAAAGAATATTTAAGCTGAAGAGATTTTGTCCTGACAAGATAAACCCTAATAAAATGATATTATCGCAACGTTTGACAGGTGCCATGTAGTGGAATTAACAGTGATATACCTAAATAAAGCATTACTGATTTTTGAAGTAATGTTTCTAATATAACTTATTTTTTAAAGTAATATCATGTTTAAAAATAAATAGGTAATAATATTTATTTACTAGAATGTTTATTAAAAAATAAAATATACCTACTTCTCTGCCAAATAAGCAAATGTGAAAGACAATGTTTTATTTCTGAATAAACACAATAATGAAAAATAAAAAGTAGTAAGTAGGTATACCTAAAAGGTTTTAATAACCTGTATAAATCACATTGAAGCAATTAAGGCCGCGTACAGACCGAATAGTATTATGTAGTTGTAAGTGCTGGATCTATTGAACTATGAACTAGTTTTTTTTTCTAGAAAAAGAAAAACCGGATCTCAGTTTGTTGGATTACTGTTTAGAAATGTGACATACAGTGGAAGCGACTTATTGAATTATAAAATTACAAAGAATATTTTAGAATTATTTACAGAAATATTCAACACATTCATTATTTTTAAGCTTAATTTTTACTTCACAATAAAAACTATAGGGATCATCGTACCTGGAAAAATGTACCACCTACCTATTGCTTCTGAAAAATTTTTTCCTTGTACCTACCAATTTTAAACAATTTGTTTTAAAAAGTAGGAAGACTTGTTTATGTATACGAATACTAATATTTGACTTAATTAAGTGCTATATTTAATATAAAAAAAAAACATGGGAGAATGTCACTTTTTGTAGTTAAGTACTTAGTTAAATTTGATAAGGTATTTTTTATTTGGTAATATATTTTTTTACAGTTAGACAGAGAATTAACAAGGTGTTCAGATTATTTGATCCGGAACTTCCCAGTTAAATTAGTATTTATACAGAGTATATTTACATAAAGGGGCATAAATGATATCAGAGATTCCTTGATTTAACCTATATCCCAAGATTCTCAAGTCGCATAATAAATAACATACAGTGTGTCAAAGTGAAAAATAGTGAAAAGTGAAAAAATGGCTTTTCTTTAATAATTTCTAAAGTTTTAAACAGAAATGTTTAAAATTTTCTAGCAAGAAATTTTTTCAGGGTGGGAAAAATAATATAATAATCATTTTTACTATCGCGTGTGGAGTGCTCTCTGCATTCAATGTTATGCATTAAATATGTTTTAACTTTTTTTGTCAGCCCTCGTATACAGCCTCTTGTAACAAAATATGAAGTATTTGACTTTTTTGTACAAAAAACGTATAATTATTGGAATATGGCTAAAATCAACCGTTGGGGAGATATTTTTGATTTTATAAATTTGTATTTCGGATAATACCTCCAGGAACATTAACGTCCAAAACGGACATGTTTGTTAATAAATAATTCAGAACTCGTTGCCTCACAGCATTTATACTACGGATATGTGCCAATCGGTAACAAATATTTTAAAATAAATAGTGTCTATTTATTGGCGTATTATTTTAGGGTGCATGAATACACTTGTAACTTCTATAAAAAATAAATCTGTTTTGCGAAAATAACAAGAAAAAATAATTTTTGCAAAATACATATTTATTATCAGTTTAACAGCAAATATTTGAAGAAAAGAACAAAGCTAGAAAAACCAAGAGTCACATAAAATAATAAATACATACCTAATCAAAAATAACAACTAACTAACAATTAAAAATAAAAGATATCTTAAAGGTTGTTTTCGAAGTAGTTTCCATTTTCTTGAAAACATAGTCTAATTCTACTATTGAAATTACAACGTATCCCTGCAATAATATTTCTGTCGTTTTTTACTTCAGCTGCTACAAAAATTCTTTGACCAAGCATTTCCACACTATATCAATAGGGTTGAAATAAACAGTATTTAATCCCATAAAAAAACATGGGTGTGAAGTCTGGTAATCGTGCAGGCCATTTGACGGATGCATCATTCCCTGGACCTATCCATCTCCAAGGAAAATTTAAATTTAACAATCGCTTAAGAGTTAATGTACTATGGGTAGCACCATCGTGCGCGTACCATGTTTTCACGGACAGCAAGTGGCACCTTTTCAAGAAATATTGGGAGTTGCTCATTTAAAAATCTCAGGTATTCTTCTGCATCGAGATTTCGAGGAAGAATAAACGGACCAATAAGATAATCTCCTACAATTCCTACCCATACGTTTAAACAAAAATTATGCTGATATCTCGATTTACAAACTTGGTGGGGCTTATAAAATAAAAAATATCCCAACGGTTGACTTTAGCTATTTTCGATAAGTATACTTTTTTTGTTAAAAAAGGTCAAATATTTCATATTTTGTTACTAAAAGTATACGAGGGCTGATAAAGAGTTAATACATATACAATATTTAATGCATAACATTGCCTGCAGAGGGAGCCCTGCATGCGACATGCGACATCCAAAACTGATTATTATATTATTTTTCCGACCCTGCAAAAATCTCTAGCTAGAAAATTTGAAACATGTCCGACTAAAACTTTAGAAATTATTAAGAAGAAAGAAAAACCAATCATCGAAACCGTACGACACTAATATTTTACAAGGGTTTTCTATTTATTTTAGACATTGCATAACAATATTGATGAAGTTTTTTTTTTACTAAATATCGTACCAGCTGTGATTATTATCTACGTGCAATCCTAAACTTGATGGAGGTTATTTGCATATTACCAACCAAAAATTTAAGAGAATCCTCACGATTTGTTTTTAAGTATTGAAAACTGATACATTCAGTTTTTGTTAGATTAACTAATCATCCATTTTTTTTACATCAATTTACTAAACTTTAGACAAGATCTTTGGTAAATATATGCAGTTCATCATAGTTCGCAGCTAAGTTCACTGCGGAAGTTCCATCAGCAAAAAGAGTAATAATAATATAAATAAATCATTTGTAAAAAGTATAAAAAGTAATAGTCCCAGAATCGATCCTTGGGAAACTTCACTGGAGCATCTTAGAAGTGCCATTTTTTAATTTTACGAGCACTGCTCTATATATGACAGATAATAATTTATCACCCAATCAAGAAATAATCCCCGAAAGCCAAGATTAAACAATTTAAATTTAATAAATTGAAATTTGAAATAATTGAATGCGTAAGATGTATCAAAAAACAAACCCGCCACATGTTTACTAGCATTCAATTGCTGATTGCACGAAACATATGTTGAGAATTATTAAATATTGAATGTACCTATATAGGTAAAGGCTAAACAATTCTAGGATTCACTGTTTTTTTAAAAACACGCTTAGAATAGATATAGGTTTATAATTAGCTATTATTTCAACAACAACCCTTTTTATATAA